GAAGATCGCAGCAGGCGCAGCACCAGAGAGAGCAGACTCACCAGTACCTGGAGCAGTAGACTCACGAGCACCTAGAGCAGCAGCCTCACCAGCACCTAGAGCAGCAGACTGGATACCGGGGTCAGGCGGCACACACAGGTAACAGGCACCCTCAGCACTAGTAGGCAATGCATACATGGCAGTGAGGATAGCATCAGAGTCAAGAGCATAGATATCTACCCTCTGCCTAAGCAGCTCCACCCAGTCGGGGAGCTCAGCCGCGTCGCCAAACTCAGTACGCCAGGCGTCGCTCAGACGAGCGAAGCAGCGGGACTCTGTATGACCAAACGTCTCGCAAGGCTGACCAGTCCGAGCACCAGTGCGAATCACGTACGGGCAGCGAGCAGTACCCCGTGACCCTCCACGCTGAGCGTACCACTCACGAAGCTGCTGGGGCGAAAGGACCGCGATCGGACGACGCTGCAGCTGCACCTGGCCACTACAAGAAGCTCCCGAACTACTCACTCCAGGACGACTCCCACTACGGCCACCCCGACAACCCCAACTAGCGTACCACTCACGAAGCTGCTGGGGCGTGAGGGACTCACGCGGACGTCGCTGGAGCTGCATTTGGCCACCGCCAGGAGCAGCAGTAGCAGTAGTAGCCGCAGTAGTAGCAGTAGCAGCAGTAGCAGTAGTAGCAGTAGTAGCCGCAGTAGCAGCAGTAGCAGTAGTAGCAGTAGTAGCAGTAGTAGCAGCAGTAGCAGTAGTAGCAGCTCGGCCACCCCTACAACCCCAGCTAGCGTACCACTCACGAAGCTGCTGGGGCGTGAGGGACTCACGCGGACGGCGCTGGAGCTGCATCTGGCCACGCTAGGAGCAGCAGTAGCTGTAGAAAAAACAGTAGCAGCAGGAGCAGCAGTAACAGCAGTACGGGCAGGGCAGTGCTCACCAGTGGCGAGAAGGGCAGGCGTACGACGGCGGCAACGGCGAGGCCGCTACCATTGCAGGGCGAGGGCTCCGCGGTAGCTGCTGAAGGGCGGGGCCGCGACCGCGGTAGGGAGCTCCGCGGCAGCTGCTGCAGGGCGGGGCCGGGCCGCGACGGCAGCTGCTGCAGGGCGGGGCAGGGCCGCAACGTCAGCTGCTGCAGGGCGGGGCAGGGGCCCCAACGGCAGCTGCTGCAGGGCGGGGCAGAGCCGCGACGTCAGCTGCTGCAGGGCGGGGCAGGGCCGCGACGTCAGCTGCTGCAGGGCGGGGCAGGGGCGGCCGCCAGTAGCAGCAGTAGCACCTAGGGCAGCAGCACCTAGGGCTCCTCTTTTTTTTTTTTTTTAAATTATTTATTTATTTTAGGGTTTGGCAGATCGCACTCGGCGCTGCAGAGGCGGCTCGCGGGCTGCAGCGAGGGGGACGGAGCGCGGCTCCCCAGGGCGCCACGACGGAGCAGCGGGGGGGCCGCGCGCGGCTCCCCAGGGCGTCGCGACGGGGCAGCGGGGGGTCGCGCGCGGCTCCCCAGGGCGTCGCGACGGGGCAGCGGGGGCCGAGCGCGGCTCCCCAGGGCGTCGCGACGGGGCAGCGGGGGCCGAGCGCGGCTCCCCAGGGCGTCGCGACGGGGCAGCGGGGGCCGAGCGCGGCTCCCCAGGGCGTCGCGACGGGGCAGCGGGGGGCCGAGCGCGGCTCCCCAGGGCGACTCGACGTGGCAGCGGGGGGTCGCGCGCGGCTTACCAGGGCAGCGCGACGGGGCAACGGGGGGCGACACGAGGGTCGCAGAGTCAGCGCCCACGGGCGTCACGCGGCTCGGCAGGGCAGAGGCATCGCCCACGGGCAACACGCGGCTCGGCAGGGCAGCGCGCTGGCTGCAGGGGCAGCACCCACGGGCTGCAGGGGCACGCACTGATGCAGAGGCAGCGCCCACGGGCTGCAGGGGCAGGCACGGCTGCACGGGCGGGCACGGCTGCAGGGGCAGCACGGTCGCAGGGGGAGCACGCCGGCTGCAAGGGCAGCGCGGCTGCAGGGGCAGCTAAAAAAAAAAAAATTTCAGTTAGGGCAGGGCGGAACGTTCGGTGGGCCCTAGGAACGATTCTGCTCTAATACCATGTGAGAATAAGAACAAGGAATGGATTGACTAGGGAACAAGGGGGGTACAAGTAGGAAACCTAGAAGTGTTGTACCCTATAGTGTCTACCCCACTACAGCCTAGATAGACTATAGCATATGAGTTTGACACTTTGCAGATGTGCCACTCATCGCTCGTCGTCGGCAGGTGAGTCTTTTTTTGTATTTTCCACTCCCCGACAATATCGCTCATCACCGTTCACCCAGCGTCCACATTTGTCGGATGAAGTATAAGGTTTAAATTACCTCTTTTTTTTGTTTCACCTATTGAAGATCACCCGAAATTCACGGTTGAGGTAGCAGTCCCGAAGTTATTTTCCGCCGTCAACCCTTATACCCCAACGTTCATCCGTCTTCGTACCCGTCGAAGTCACTTAGCGAATCCCAGGTATCTTTGACAATGCACCCCTCGCCGTGCATCCATGTTTAAAATCTAAACCCTTTCAGGTGTCAACCGAGTAGACCCCGAAATTCGTTGTGGAGTAATGCACGGGCTCAATCTCTCACTCGAGTGATCTGCTGAATCACCCACAACTTTCCCTCCATCGATTTTTTTTTGTCTTCACCCCCCGACAATTTCGCGTCCCGCCGTTCACCTGGCGTCCGCTTTTGTCGGATGGGATATTGCCAATGTTGCCCGCGCGATAATTCGGCTACGGTGCAGGCGCAAATGCTATCGGAGTCGGCAGTTTTATCAACAAAGCGGTTGGGGTCAATGTCGCACCCAACCGCTTTGCAGCCCACCACGCCTATCACGCCACGTAGCTCCACTGGTACCGAGTCCCAACTTCGCCCTGCGCCGTCAATCCGAGTAGACGCCTCGGTCAAGAGGAAACCGTGGACTGCACCGCTGTTTTCGTCGCAACTCCCCGACTTTTTCGCGTGTCGTTCACCCAACCCGCTTTTGTCGGAGTAGAACAGTGCCGCGAACTCTCCTTTTTTTTTTTTTTTTTTTTTTTTCGTACAGCTGTCGAACGAGCACCAAACCAGGTGTCTTTAGCCAGCACAGGGTAGGCACATGTTCACACCCGTTATTCGGCCAAGTTAGGTCGGCTGTATGAGTCGGAACCAAGACTTAGTGGGGATGGTGAGGTTCGGGCGAAGTAGGGCTGCATGTCGTTCCACTGGCTTTTAACCTGCTCCCTATGACGTTTTCCAACCCCCGCTTTAGCCATCGGGTAGTTTCTTCTCGAATGACCTGGAATCCTGCACCACGCTTCTCCGAAAATGGCGGAATGGTACGTGGACGCCGTTTAACTGTGGGCCGCTAAGATTGTTCTCGAAAACAGCTTCCGTACGGGGAATCCACCCTCGCAAAATCTTGAAAAGTTGTCAACAGCACCAGGTGCGCAGTGTCGTGTGAGGTCTTTCCAAGGTGTACAGTCTCGAATTACCCTCGCCGCCTGCACCCCACTTCTTCTTAAGTGTGATATAGCCACCGCGTTTTTCGTTGCAGCCCGTAAGTGTTGGCAGGTATGAAGTCCTGTCTGTCCACATGCACTCCTGCCGAAATCGTCGGTGACGCGCACGCCATGCAGCAAAAGCCGCTGCACTTAACCGGTCGGGCGGGACGGTAGTTGACTCCCGCATAAGTCGGGCAGTCGTCGTGGCGTCTCTACTCGTCACAGACTTTTTCCGATACAGTTACTTTAGCGCTTGGCGAGTCCCTACAATGTCCCTTGTTTTTTTTCTTCATCTCCACAGTAGAATCTTCCGAAAATCTCGCGTGCTAGTTGACGAACAACCACGCCAATTGCCACACAGAACGACGACTCTGAAAATTTCGTGCAGGTGCCGACACAGATCCGCTGACGCCAGCTGCCACACAAATATATCCGAAATCGTCGAGACGCTGCGGAAATAACTTACGTTTTCAACGTCGCACAGCAACAGCTGTCCGTTGCCCGGTGGGAGGGAGGCTACGGTCGATCGCGACTGTTCTAGGCAAGGATCTGGCAGTGCCAAAGGAGTGCCCCGCAAAACTATGGCCACGAGGAGCAACTAACTCGTTCTCCTGGCCGGCCTACGCAACTCCTGCACCCCAAGACATCCTTCCTCGTCCCCCCCCTCCCCTTCCCACCCCCCCCTCCCCCCCTCCCGAGGGGTAATACACTTTAAAAAGCGGGGTAGGCTAGGAAATTAGCTCTGATACCAGGTGTTATGAATGAACTTGCAGAGTGCGCAGACGAGAAAAATAAGAATGCTGAACTACAGAATGACGATACAAGGGAAGTGACGGGATTTTATAAGGGGATCCTAGCTAGGCGAAGAGGTCGGGCTAGGATGGCTCGGGAAGTGTTGCGATTGGAGCGGTGGCGACTCGGGTGTGGTTCGGGGCGGAATTGTAGGCCGAACCGGGTTGACGCGTGGCCTTCGGGTTGTACCCGCTAAAATGCGAGAATAGAATGGAATTACAATTCCTTACAGCCAGGAAGTCACCAAATAATTGTTACAGGTTTTGGCCATCGATGATTACCACTAACAGCGTGACATCATGGCAGCCTTCCGAACGTCCGCGTCATCGAGGCAACCTCCAGGTGTTCAAAGGGGGACTGTGCTACCTGTCCGGAGAAAGTACTTCACGCCACCTATTAGATTTTGAACAGTGCAGATTTACAGATCAGCATGTCTACCCTAACACCAATAATCGAGGCCAGGTTCGAATGACTCAGGATTTGGCGCTGCAAACCAGCTCGAGCGATTTCGACCAATGACGCAGTTCGCTAACACTGCGTAACCTCTTCTCGTGCGGATCGCAAAGTCCCGTTGTGAGATACTGAATTTCGCCCAACTCACATTCGTTCCAACCTGTGACAAAGAACGGAGCATTTTTGGGATGAGCCCTTTTCACATTTCATTTCCCAGTGTCTCGCACCTTCTAATTTTCTCTTGCCCTTCCGCCAACGTTCATGAGCAGCATCGCACGCGTTGTCCGTGCAGTGGTCGCCCCTAACTCCCTCCTCCGTGCTACCGCTGCGCTTTCGTCAGTCGCACGTCAACGGATGGCCGCAGCGTCTCTGTCTGTCCGCGGAGTGGGTGTGTCCGCAAGCGGGCTATCAGGCGGCGTCAGTCAGCGCGGAGCGGCATCCTTCGCTGATTCGGAGCTTGCGGGATCGGCGCTTGCGCCGGCTGCGTGCCGATTGCCGTTCGCAGGTGAGCATACGTAGAGCGAGGTCGACACATGAATTCATTGTAATATCTCTTCGTCTGCAATCCCATCATTATTTGAGTTCCTTATGTCGGCTGTCGTGCAAAATTCCATATGCTCGAAGAATTTCTCCGCAAAAGAAGCCTAAAAAAACCATAAAAGGAAAGCAAAAAACGCACCAGACATTTCGGCTTCGTAACACCTCACCACTATCTCACCACCCCTGTTTCCAGCCACATCGCCAGCAGCGGTTTCCGCGTCCGCCGCCTTCCGCCAGTCGGCGCAGCCCGCCTTGCGCCAGCGCGGGGGGAGGCGCGGGATGTCGGCGGTAGCGGCGCAGGCTGTGCGCGGCGAAGGCGTGGTGGGCCTCACCGTCCCGGGGAACGCCGTCCTGCCCTCGGTATAGTGCCACTGCCCTGGGTATAGTGCCACTGCCCCTCGGTATAGTGCCACTGCCCTCGGTATATTGCCACTGCTCTCGTTATAACGCCACGTTTGTCAATTCATGCCAATTACTCTCACTCGTTTCTCCCCACCCTTCCACCCCCTTCCCCCTCCGCACCGACTCCTGTCCCCTTCCCTCTCTCCTCTTCCCCATCCCTTTCCTCCTTTCCCTTCTCAATTCGCATCCCGGCTGCCATATTCCTCAACGCCCTCTTTCCTCGTCTATGCCAGGTGTCCGTCTCCTTCGATCCCGCCTCGCCGCCGCTCTCCCTCCCCTCCGACCTCCTCCTCCTCGCTGTCTTCGACTCCGCCCTCTCTCGCGACGACACGTCAGCAGCCAATTTCACTGGCTTCGCTGCTGACGCGCCAGGCGGTGCTGAGCTGGCTTCTCTCGACGCCACGCTTTCCGGCGCTCTCGCTGAGCTGGCATCCGACCCGGATTTCAGAGCGAAGCCCGGGCAGGTTTCGCAAGTCCTCCGCGTTCCCGGGCAGCCGTTCAAAAGAATCGCGCTGCTGGGGCTGGGCAAGCCGGATGTGCTTCTAAAGGGGGAGGCCGGCTCGTGGCAGGGGTTAGGCTCCGCTATAGCAGGCGCCGCTAAAACGAATCAGGCCAGCAAGGTATCCCTCGCGTTCCTGGGCAAGCCAGAGGCGGCGGAGGGGCAGGAGATTAAAGCGGGGAGCGCGGTTCGGGGGATAGTGACGGGCGCTATAGTAGGCAGCTTCGAGGATGTGCGGTTCAAATCAGAGGAGAAGGAGAAGGCGAAGGCGGAGAGGGGTGTGAAGGAGTTGCAAGTGCTGGGGCTGGGTGACGCGGAGTCACTGCAGAGGGACGTGTTTGAAGGGGAAAGGCTGGCGGCGGGAATCATCCTCACCAAGCAGCTCGTCAACGCGCCGCCCAATGTGCTCACGCCAGCTGTCCTCGCTGACGTGGCGGTGAACCTGACTGCCGCCCACGCGGATGTGCTGAGCGCGCGCATTTTGGAAAAGGACGAATGTGCCGCCCTGGGCATGGGGTCATACCTGGCGGTGGCGGAGGCATCAGCGGCGGACAACCCGCCCAAGTTCATCCATGTCACCTACACACCGCCTGCTGCTGGGGACGGTGGCGAAGGGAGCGAGGAGAAGCCGCTGAAGAAGCTGGCTCATCGGCAAGGGACTCACCTTCGACAGGTATGCAAGGGGCTGCGCATGCCTAGTCATGCCTGCTCATGCCTGCTCATGCGTGCTTGTGGCCCTAAGGGCATGCGTCCAACCATGTGCTTCCACCCATTTCACGCTATCTGCCCAATGACGTCCACATAAACCGTTTCAAGGCTGATTCTGCCATCAAACAGCAGCGGGTCAATCTGTCCGCGGATCGCCTCTGCTCTCATCCCTCCCTTGGTCAACCATGCCTTCTGTCTTCACCACCTCGTCCCCAACCTTCCTTCCCCTCTCCTCCACTTATTCACTCATCCACTCGCTATTAGAAGCGGCAGGCAGGCAAGGGCTCCACAATTCACTTTTTAAGACCTTCCATCCATGCCCTCCCCTTTCTTGCACCAGTGGCGGCAGCAACCTCAAGGCTGGTCGTCCTCGCATCCCCTATTATCCCCCATCACCATTGCCCCTCACCACCCATTTCCACCCCTCCCGTGCACCAGAGGCGGGTACAACCTGAAGGCAGGCCCAGGCTCAACTCATTGATTCACCTCATGAAGTTTGACATTCTCTCATGCCTTCAATCATCTCCCTTGGCTCTGCTTCACCCCCTCTCCTTCCCCGGTTATCGCACCCACCAGTGGAGGCTACAACCTCAAGGCGGGGCCGGGGTCAATGATTCACCTCATGAAGTTTGACATGGGCGGCGCTGCTGCTGTGCTGGGCGCCGCCAAGGCCATCGCTGCCATCCAGCCCCAGGGCGTGCAGGTGAGGCCAGCCAGACCATGCAAGCACACACGCACACACCCACACTGCTGGCACCGCCAAGGCCATCGCTGCTATCCAGCCGCCCTGCGTGCAGGTGAGGGTTCTGCACCTGTTGTCCGCCCACCTGCTCCCGTAGTAGTCACGCATGGTGCAATGCATGGTGCTCCCTGCATCACTGTGGAGGGGAGGCTCGTGCACCCTGCACCTGCTCTCCATCCATCTGCTCCCCACCACCCACCTTCTCTCATGCTCTTTTAAAAAAACTAAAAGGATTTACTGTCACAAACGAGCTCTGCTGTTGCCACAGGGATGCCACGGCCATAGAGTATTGAACCCACTTTGGAAAATCGTTCAAGCTGCCTATCTAAGAAACGCTAAAGCTCTCACCAAACCAAGCCCCTTCCGCTGACCTGAAGTATTGGGTCTCGTTGTCCTAGAACACACGTACTTACTGAGTTGATGCAAGTAAGGCCGCCACAGCCACGGCCACCTGTCCTCCACTGACGCGCCATGGGCCACAAGGAGGGGGGGGGGGGGTGGGGGGGGTGGGGGGGGCATGCGTTCACCTCCCAGGGGTGTTGTGGGGGAGAGGGGAGTCAATGCGTGCTGTGAGAGTATGAGGCGCGAGATCATGGGGCGTGAAGAAGGCGTGTTTGTTGCACTTGTCGCCCTTTTCCTGCGTGCCTCTGCTGTTTGCATCCACATGTTATTCATGCGATGTGGGTTGTTGTTTGCGTGTCTGTTGCCTTGCATGTGCATGTGCGCTGCATGTTCCTGAAACATTCTCACCCCCCACCAGGTGCATTTCATCATAGCAGCGTGTGAGAACATGGTCAGTGGGGGCGGCATGAAGCCGGGAGACATCATCACTGCCTCCAACGGCAAAACCATTGAGGTGCGGTGCAGTGAGAGCAGTGAGGTGAGGTGAGAGCAGTGAGGTGAGGCGAGAGCAGTGAGGTGAGGCGAGAGCAGTGAGGTGGGGAAAAAACGCATGATATGCTTCGTCGCAGATGCTGCATGGAAAGTACAGTTGACGTCGGATTGGAATAGCACAAACGAAACTCTGCTTGCGCTCTTTTGTGGCTCTCTTCCCTCCCCACCCCTTGTTGTGATGAATGGCGGTTGGGTGTTTTCTAACTCCTTCTGGCACTGCCAATAATAACACAACCGACCCATCCCTTCCTCCCCTTCCCCGTTTCTTCCTCCTCTTCCCCATCCCTTCCTCCCCTTCCCCGTCCCTTCCTCCTCTTCCCCAACCCTTCCCTTCTCTGCCCCTTCCTCCCCTTCCCTGTCCCTTCCTCCCCTTTCCCGCCCCTTCCTCCCCTACCCTGTACCCATCCCTCCCCCTCGCAGGTGAACAACACGGACGCGGAGGGGAGGCTGACACTGCCTCTGACACCCACACTCACCCCAACTCCTCCTCCCCATGTGCCCATCCCCCTCGCAGGTGAACAACACGGACGCGGAGGGGCGGCTGACACTGGCGGATGCGCTGCTGTACGCGCAGCAGCAAGGCGTTGAGAAGATCGTTGATGTCGCCTCCCTCACTGGTGCCTGCATCATCGCCCTCGGGAATGACATTGCTGGTATGCTCGTGGCATGGCTGGTGGGCTGATTTGTCGGTGGCATTGCTGGCAAATCACATGCATGAATTCATACTCACGTGCACCCTCGCTCACTTAACCCCCCTTCCTCACCCTCCCATCTCCCTCTTCCTCCTCCCTGCCACCACCCGCAGGTCTGTTCACCCCGAGCGACGAGCTGTCAGCAGAGTTGGAAGCTTCCTCTCGGGCATGTGGCGACAAGGTGTGGCGCATGCCGATGGAGGAGGCGTACTGGGAGGGCATGCGCAGCAAGCATGCCGACATGCTCAACACCGGCGGCCGTGAGGGCGGCTCCATCACGGCAGCGCTCTTCCTCAAGCAGGTGCGTGGAGAATGAGAGAGGGGGAAACCGAGAGAGGAAAACACCATAGCCCTTGTTTGTTGCAGTGCGGCAGCAAGCAACAGCAGGAGCGGGTGTTTGTTCTGTGCCACCTCTTCATGCCCTGCTGACCAGAATCACACTTTGGCGGTCTCTTTTGCAGCAGCCCCTCTCTTCCTCCCGTCTCTTTCTGGGCTAACCTTGAAGCAGCACATTTGTGTGCATTATGACGAGGCAACATTGCCTCGAACTTACTCTTGCTTTTGTCTCCTGCCTCTCTGTTTGCTGTTGCTCCCACCACTCCCTGCCACCGCTCCCTCCTCTCTCATGCCTCTCTCTATGCTGTTTTGCCGCCACTCCCCTTTACCAGTTTGTGGCGGAGGGGCTGCCATGGGCGCATCTGGACATTGCAGGGCCGGTGTGGAGCGAGAAGAAGGGCGGAGGCACTGGCTTCGGTGCCAGCCTGCTCTACCACTGGGTCGCCTCCCACTCCCCCTAGGCCTCCCACTCCCAAGGCTCGCACTCCTAGGACTAACAGTCGGTTGGATATGCGGTGGCAGCAAAAAAGCTGGGAAAAGGGAGAAGAGCTGGATGGAACTCGCTGCTTTGCCCCTCCCAATTGATTTGGAAATTGGTTGTAAGCCATTGTTGGATTCAATCCCCTTCTATCCAGTTCGACCAGTGAATGGAAGTTTTTTCCAGGAGTGGGTCTAATTTGTTTAGTAATATTTTTTAGTTACACCCCCCTAGAGGGGAAAACATGAGATAAACCCTCAGGCATAAGAGCGTATTCCTATCCTCGTATCAAGAAAACCTCATATCAAGATTGTACTTTTTGCCTGGTAAAAGTAGCGAGAGGTTTTGGGTTTAGGGGAATTTTCAGTGGGAGGTTGATATGAGGTTTTCTTGATACGAGGATAGGAATACGCTCTAAGACCCCTTCCAGTTGTTGGGGGGGTACTCTATTAGAGTCGATTCGAGTTATACCCCACTAAATGGCATCTGACATAAGACTTCCCCCCTAGCCCGCTAGAGACATATTCATTTGTAGCGCAAGCAATGAAAATTGGTCATTTTCCATGTTCAGCAAAGAGGCATTGTCAAGAATAGTAGCTAGTACTTAGTAGCCATAGTTAAAGTTTTGGGTACTAGCATGAGAGAAGAACAGCAGAAGAGGGTTGCCCTAGTAAGCAGGGCAGTACATATAGCAAACCCTAATTGGGTTGTACTCACTATAGAGTACTCCACTGCAGACTAGACAAATAACACATTCTGACACACCCCCATAGTTAAAGTGGGGTATAGTCAGCACAGCAAGGAGTCAAAGAGCAGGTTCACAAGTACAAGTAAAGCTAGAGGCATTCGCAAAGGGCAAGTGAGGAGGAGGAGGCGGGACTGTGAGAGGAGAGGAGATAGGAGGCGACGGCTGAAGCTGCAGACACTCGGGCAACAGGAGCGGCTGGCACAGCGGCTACCGGAGCAGCGCCCCGGACTACTAGAGTAACTGGCTCCGCGGCTAAGACGAGCGGCAGGAGCAACGGACCCACGGGCGACTAGCGCAGCAGGCTCGCTGGGCTACCGGAGCAGAGCCACGGACTACTGGGGCTGCTGACGACACGTGGCTGCCTCCGCTCAACCTCCCCCAACTGTCCCACCCCCCTTTCACACACCCCCTGCTGCACCCTTAGCTTCACTCCCACGACACCCCCCTAGCACCACTCCCTCGGCTCCCACACACCCACCCCCCTCAGCGGCAGCTGCAGCAGTGGGAGACGAAGGAGGAGGAGGAGCAGGGGACGGCTCACATACCCGCCACCCCCATACCCGCTACCCCCATACCCCCAACGCAGGCGGCACGGGGCAGAAACGCGGGCAGCAGCTGGGGCGCTACGAGGGGCGACGGGCAGGGCGGCGCGCGGGCCCCCAGGGCGCCGCGACGGGCGACGGGAGGGGGCGACGCACGGGCCTCCAGGGCGCCGTGACGGGCGACGGGCAGGGCGGCGCGCGGGCCCACGGGGCACCGCGACGGGCGACGGGAGGGGGGGCGGCGCGCGGGCCCCTGGGGTGCCGTGACGGGCGACGAAACCGCCACGCGCTAAAACCGCCGCGCGCCCCGAGTGCACGGCGGGAAGAAAATACGCCACATGCGCCGGGCGCGCGGTAGGCAGAAAACGTCGCGCGCCCGGGGCGCGCGATAGGCAGGACAGCAGCGGAAGCATTAGGTGGGCCCACAAGCCAGGAGCGTACTCGCTCTGATAGAATGTCAAGAATAGTAGCTAGTACTTAGTAGCCATAGTTAGGGTTTTGGGTACTAGCGTGAGAGAAGAACAGCAGAAGAGGGTTGCACTAGTAAGCAGGGCAGTACATATTGTCGAGAGTAAAGGAAAAAGGCGATGCACTATCGAGGATGTAGGGTACAAGTAACAAAAACTTATACCATACATTGGCTACCCCACTAAAGCCTACATTTTATTATGACATAGGCATATAATTTGACACACCCCCATAGGCAAAGTGGGGGAGAGCAAGGGGTCACAAGACCAGTCAAGAGAAGCAAAGCAAGCTCAGGGTGGATCACAACGTCACCACACACACTGAGCACAAGCAAAGGGCCACATGGCCAGTTCACATGCAGAGGTATATATGCAACAACAACAGTACAATGATCTCTACCTAGCAGAGCAAGCATACAGGTATATATATAGATCACAGTACAAGCAAAAGTCTATAGCAAGTGAGGAAAAGTGGGCACAAGGCCTAACAAAGTGCAGAAACGCTGATGATCACCAGACGGAAGTGCCTTGGTGAATATATCAGCAGTGTTGGCCCGAGTGGCCACGTGAGCAAGACGAAGCTGACCACGCTACTGCAACTTGAGCCAAGAAGTAACGCAGAGCGATGTGCTTCGTTCTGTGCTCCAGTCTGTGCTCCTGACACAAGGCAATGGCGGCCTTGTTGTCGACGTACAGCACTAGAGAAGAACGAGGCCGCTCTCCCAAGTCGGTCACCAGGTAGGTGAGCCAGCGTAACTCCTGTGCAGCCATGGCTGTGGCGTAGATCTCAGCCTCACAACTGGAGCTCACAACTGAAGACGAGCGTGTAGAATGCCAAGAAACTGAACCAGAGCCAAGGCTGAAAGTGTAACCCTGTGGCGACTGCTGCGTAGCCTAGTTGTCAACCCAAGAAGCGTCTGAGTGCCCAGTGAGGACAACGTCGCTCCCTCCTCCAAGCACGAGCCCCATGCCTGATGTACTGCACAAGTAGCGTAGTACCCTCTTAGCAGCATCCATGTGCACCTTTCGGTGCCGACCAGGAGCCACGTAGCGAGCCAGAAGGCCAAGAGGGTACGCAAGGTCAGGACGAGTGCAGGTCATCAGGTACATGAGGCAGCCCACTAGCTCTGGGTAAGGACCACTCGGCTCTACAGACTCGTCCGAAGGTGGAGCTGAGAGCGAGTGACCTGTAGCCAGAGGAGTGGCCTGTGCCGAGGACCAGGTGAAGCCGAAGCGCTGAAGGACCTGCTGCACCATGTGTGACTGAGTCAGTGTGATGGTGTGGCGTGCTCTGTCCCGGGTGATCTACAAGCCAAGGTAACTGCGCAGCTCACCCAGGTCTGTGCACGTGTGTCTCTTCTGCAGCTCCGACTTCACCAGGGCGAGAGCCTCAGTGTCAGCAGTGGCAAAGACCAAGTCGTTGACGTACACAAGGATGTAGAACAGCAGCAGTGAAGTGTCGGTGCGCAGAAACAACGACGGGTCAGCATTCGACGGAGCAAACCCAAGAGCCGCAAGTGTCGTCCTCAGTGTGTCGTGCCACTCACGTGGCGCCTGGCGGAGACCGTAGACCGGCCGCCGGAGGCTCCACTGGGTACTAGGAGGGAACGACCCAGTGAAGCCAAGCGGGCGGCGTAGCCCGAAGTCCTCGTGCAGGCTGCCCTGCAAGAAAGCTGTGCTGAAGTCAAGAGAGTGAAGCTCGTAGTCACGCTGAGCGGCAACGTGCAGCAGCACTCGAAGAGTGGTCATCTTCGGGGTGGGGGAGAAGGTCTGGAAGAAGGCAACTCCCTCTCGCTGACTGAAGCCTCGAGCAACGTAACGAGCCTTGAAGACAGGCGGAGAACCTGGCGGCCGCTTCACCCTGCAAATCCACATGCCATCGACGATGTTCGCCCCAAGAGGGGGAACCTCATCAACGTAAGTGCCTGTGGACTTTCAGGATGCCATCTCTGCGTCCATGGCTGTCTGCCACTGAGAGGAGTACTCACCCACGATCGCCTCAGCGTAAGAGCGCGGGGTCGGGATGTCTGGAGCATCCGGGTCTCCCTCAGGGGTAAGCAGCATGGACACGAGGTGAGGCGCAGCGGCTGCAAGACACTCAAGGTCCTCGTGCCTGTCCTCAAGGACGTTCGTGCCAAGAGCACACTCACCCCCGACGGACGGAGGACAGACAGACTCGGACTCAGCAACAAGACTAGCGGCGTAGTCTAGACGACAGGCAGCAGCAAAGTCAACAAGCTCAGCGACTAAGGCAGACGCAGCAGCAGACTCAAACGACGGGTCAGTGACAACTGTGGCTAGCAGACGCGTGACAGTTGGGTGAGCAGCACGAGCGCGGTCAGACTCAGGCTCTGGACCGACAGGCAGAGAAGACGCAGGAGGGGACGGCAGGGAAACACGCTGTGGAGCAGACGAAGGACGCAGGGCCATGAGGTGTGAGCCGGGGACACCCGGCGGACGCTCACGAGGAACACGACGACCAGTACGACCAGTGCGGACAGTGCGAACAGGCGAGACAGGACGAGACGCAGGCTCACGACGCTCAGCAAGACCGCCTGTCAGCTCAGTGTAAGGAGAAGGAGCAGGCAGCGGTGAGCCAGGCTGTAACGGAAGACCGGTAGAAGACGGGAGGCTAAGAACCTGGCGAAGCACGGAGCCAGGCGGTGGCAGAGACGAAGGTGACGGCGGAGCGAAGAACAGTCGCGGCGGTGCAGTGCCACCAGCACCAGTAGCTCCAGCACCTCCTGCAGCTCCATAACCTCCAGCGCCAGCACCCGCAGCAGCTCCAGAACCTCCAGCTCCGGCGCCACCAGCGCCAGCACCTCCAACAGCTCCAGAACCTCCAGCGCTAGTACCAGCTGTAGCTCCAGAACCTCCAGCTCCAGCGCCACCAGCGCCAGCACCTCCAACAGCTCCAGAACCTCCAGCGCCAGCACCCGCAGCAGCTCCAGAACCTCCAGCTCCAATGCCACCAACGCCAACACCTCCAACAGCTCCAGAACCTCCAGCTCCAGCGCCACCAGCAGTAGCACCCCCAGAGCCAGCACCTCCAGCTCCAGGGCCTCCAACCTTAGAGTCGACAGCAGCACCTCCAGGTCCAGCAGGACCTCCAGTCCCAGCAGCTCCAGTACCTCCAGTACGAGCACCTCCGGGACCAGCTGCTCCAGGAACTCCAGTAGAAACAACTCCAGTAGCAGAGTCACCAGCTCCAGCGCCTCCCGCAGCA